AAAAAACCTGAATCTTTACCATCGCTAGATTATCAGAAAGGTTTATTTCTCCGCGAACCTCATTTATGCAAATTAGAAGGTTGAATGAGACACGTGAAGTTAAAAAGAAGTTATTTCATAAACAATTAAAAACGGGTTATTTAATAAAGTCTTTTTAGGCCTAATGACTGTATGTTTAATGTAAGATAATGTTTAATTTAATGTCTTTATTTATTTAACACTTATAAAATGTAATGAGGGTTACATCACTAATACATAATTTAAGTACGATGCAATATATATATATATAATTTAAGTGCGTGCGACCAAAAATATACCCAAAACACCAGGAACTGGCTGAAAATGAGTGCTGAGCATAATGCCCAGCAAGTACTGAGCAAAGCCTGTTCCCTTTGCCTTACATTGTACTTGTAGACTGAGTGATAGTAGTTAATTTGTTAATTGTACATTTTTATTTTTTTATTGATTTTTTAAGTCTATAATTTTATGTGTATACATAGTTTTTTATTATAAATTTATGATTGTGCGGCAATAAATATTTTTATTATTAATGGTCAATGTGGTATTTTTAGCCAAATAATGTTAAGGTTTGCTTTAATTCAATGGTTAGTACTGTTCCTAGAAAAGTTTCTGTTATCTAACAGTTGTTGTTGAACAGTCTGTTGACTACTTTATTAATGTGCATATTAAACACAAAAAAAATTCATAAGTTATTTGCATGGTATAATCAACAAAGGTAATTTAAAAATCCGGTTGCAATTTTTTTATTAAATCACCATTATACAACATGTCCCGAAACTCAACGTCAAGCGGGTACGGCGCTAGAGGTGAGTTGATACCAGCCCCGGGAAAAATAAATAAAACATTTCATATCTGGTAGTTCAGTTATAACTGACAAATTTATGAAAACGAAGAAAATCGACACTTTAAATCATATCATTAGGTATTGTGACCATAAATTCTCAATTTTACAGTGATTTTTTCACTAACGAGGTCTTAAATAACCGTGCTATTTAATCGCAGTTACAAATCGAGCATAAAAAGACTAGGTTATTTAAAATTAACGTAGTTTCTTTTAGTCGTAGTTGAAAAAATAAGAACATCTAACTTTGACTCGTTAAGAAAAACATACTGCAAGGCAAGTTACTTCAAAAGATGGCCCATTTATCCTAGATTTCAAAATGGTATTATAATGCGTATCACTTTTTATTCTTAAAAAATAAAATTAATTTGATTTTCTAAAATAAGACCTAAAATTAAAACAGTTCGTAAACAGGTGTAGGCGGCACCACAATATATTTTCATCTATTAAATATTGAATTCAACAACTGCAAATGAAACAGAAATATTTTTGAATGAAATAGATAATGACGCCATTTCATGTGAGTTAGAGCGAGACAGGTAGAGATGCTATTTTTTGTGATTGGCTGAAACAGATGGTGATGTTATCAGTATTCACTTTTAATTGGACATAGTTACGCAAAAAGGATCCAATGTAATTTGTGTCAAAAATGTTCAGTTGAAAAATAATGTTTGTGGTATATACTATTATGTGATGCAATAATTTTAGCGAAAGTAACACAAATGAGAAGAAAATTTACAAACACACACACACACACACACACACACACACACACACACACACACAAACCATACAGATCCATTCTTCAAATTTCATAACCTCAAATTAGCTTTCTTTTTAGGGTTGGATCCTTTTTGCATAACCACGTCCAATTGTCAAAGTCTTACTTTTATCTGAAACTTGGCTAGGCAATGAGAATGACATATCCATTCCTAACTTCACCTGCATCGCAAAATTTAAAAGGTGGTACTAGAGCAGGAGGTGTACGAATATTTCGTAATTTTAGTGATGTCGTTAATATTTTAACTTCATCTATAAATTTATGGATCACTAGCTCGGCTGTTGGTGATTTGTGTATGGCTCAATGTCAAATGGAAAATAGGAAAAAAAATTGATTGTGTATTGTATACAGAATGGGGTCCCACATATATGCAATAAATGAAACCACATACTTGTTATCGTCTTTGCTGACGGTATACTAAAAATGAACGTAATCAGCCCAGTAATTAGGTCAAAAAGTAGAGTTTTAATTTTAAGCAAATTTGAACCCTCTATAGAATTGGGTCACTAAGTCAATGATTCAATGAACTTGTATCCTTGAACATTAAAAAGCGACGTTGCCACGCAGTGCAAACTATTGGTATTGCGACGTATCGACAGCGGTGTCTTTTGTCGGCGTGCATAAACAAGCGGCACGAGGCACGCGGCGTACTTCAAAGGCAACTGCGCGCGCGCTTTTGTCGTAGAGTAGGACATCTATTATCGACGATTAGCTTATTTCAAAGGGAGTAAGTAATAATCGATAAACAAAAAAAAAATGTTTAGCTTTAAACACTTAGGGTGTGGTTTTTTTAGAATTATCGTGTTGTTATGATAATCCTAAAAACACTACGACCTAAGTATTTAAAGCTAAACTTTAAAGCTTTTTTTTTGTTTAAGTGTGTTCTTGTAGATTTAGAGATAATAAATTATTTTAACATGATAAAAAACCCATAAAAACAACCAATTAAAAAGTCATACATACTTACCCGTTTCCCAGGAAGTCACAAATCGGTAGTTTCGTAAGTTCAATTGTACAAAAATAAACTTTTTTTTTTTAACAATCAATAACTTGTCGATTGTTAACAAATCAAAAATCAAAATTACTTGTATTCAAATGTAGTAGGTAAGTAAGCGTAAAAAGAAAAGTGTCGATAAACGATTATTGCACCTTGTGGCCGCCCTATTTATTACTTTTATTATTTTCGCCATTTTGGAATTTGGAAGTTTAGCTTCCAGTTTCCAGTTCACGCGCAATTGTTCCAGGATACAGGTGCGTTTCGCTGCTTACGCGCATCGTAATTATTTATCGTAAGATAATTATCGTAAGATAAATACAATTAGTCAAACAAATATTTTACGGTGAAATAGACACTTATTAGTTAATTGACTTTGTGTGTGTAAATAGTGTTTTAAGTACGTTTATTTTTTCGCTGTGATATTGACACTACTTTACTTTTTTGACCTCACTTCTCTAGACTTCTTTTTATGGGGCTTTATTAAAAATGAAGTGTACTCAAAGATTTTCGAAACCGAAGATGAACTGCGCAATCGTATTGTTGCCGCCTTTAACAAATTAAAAGCCCTGGCTCTGGATCCTGAACGAAATTTTTTGAGCAAACTTCAGGACAACATTATGCGGCGATGTAACTTGTGCATTCAAGAACGATTTTGAAATTTTTAAAATTTAGGGTTTCATTAAATTTTGCTACTAATATGTAATAATATTTATTTCGTTCAGTTTCATTTTCGCGAAATAAAAAAGTGGCGGTAAAATACCTAAACAGTTTAGTGAGTAAGTTTTTATTTCGTCGCACATTGTCCAACGAACCATAGGCCGTGCCGACAAACAATAACGCTGCCTGCCGCCAACCGCCATGCCACCCGCGTGCAACGTTGTCACTCTTCCAAGGGGTCAAGGTACGTTGTCTAAACAGAGTGTTTACTTTTACTGAATGTATTTTAATATTTATTTTGTTTGAAAATTTCACTTTTTTATTTTACGGGTTTTAATTTAATATTTAATTTTTCTACACTTCTATGGACTAGTATTACTTGTGGTTTAATTTATTGCATATATGTGGGACCCCATTCTGTATATCTCCTAATCAAAGGTTCTTCGTTATTCATTATTGCCCTACACAACAGAAGGTGCCGCCTTACTTCGTAACAATAGTGATAAAATACCATTGATTTTAAATGGAGATTTCAATTTAATTGTATTGACTTATGATTTTAAATGGAGATGTCAAATTTGCATCAGACGAATCTACGAAGTTGATTGAAATTTTAAAAGATAATTTAAATGTATCTATACAAAACAGTCCATAAAGTTCTACCATAAAGTCAGGCACTACTAAATTCCGTTTAATGTAAAACATGTGTTTCGTATATAATTTATTATAATATTTTATGCCATGATATAAATAAATGAATAAAAAAAAATTAACCCGAGGAGTAAATTGCATATCACTTAGTAAGGCTTAATATGTAAGTGTTAGTAAACCTAAAATTACTTAAAGTTTATTACTGTTAATTTATTAAGCTGTTTTTAATTGGTCTAATTTCCATAGTTTTTATTAATTATAATTGTACCTGGCTTACCTTTATATTTAATATGTGGATAACTGTTATTGGCATACTTGAAGTAAATTTGAAAATTGTATTTAGTGTTTTGTTATCCCTATTAAAATAAAATAACATAAAATATTGTAGCTACCATAAATCATTAATTAGAAAAGTATATAATGAGATAAAGATATAGATAGATAAAAATGATAAGAATAATTCTATCATTAATAATGAACTAGAACACTAATTATAAGAACAATGATAAAATCAATTGATCATACTATACTCTACAATAAAACAGCTTTATTTTTAATTTGGATTTTTTTTTGCGTAAGCCATATTTAACCTACGTCATCATTATCATTACAGTCCATCACAAGTCCACTGCTGAACATAAGCCGCCAAGGAATGCCACAAAGAAGAATGCCAAACAAATTAAAATTAAAAATTTTGTACAACCGACTTCAATATAAATTATTAAGAATAACTCATAAACTATTGGTCAGACCTTGATCAAATTTATATGGGACCACATGTGAAGCACTAGCTTTCAAATAAAAAAAAGAATCATCGAAATCGGTTCACCCAGTAAAAAGTTACGAGGTAACACACAACACACATACAAAAAAAAATTGAGTACCGTCTCCTTTTTAAGTCGGTAGACAAATTAACCTACTTATGTAAGATATAAAATAAAATAAGAATGACTTGTCGTAAAGAAGTTTCACTTGGTACGTGTGTATACAATTACGCGCGCATTTTTTTTAGTTATAGTAATTCTCATTTTCAACTTCTGTTTTTGCTGCAGGTATGTGGGTGAACTTCTTCACAGCTGCAGGTATTCCGTCAGATGTGTCAGCGACCTATGCCCTGACCTTCACAGAGAATCGTATTCAGAGTGATATGTTGCTAGATCTCAATAAGGAATACCTAAGGGACATGGGTATCACAAGAATGGGTGATGTTATTGCTATTTTGAGGTTAGTTTCATGGTATTGATAGTTTTGGAGATAAGTGAAACTTTTTAAAGCGCATTGAGGCAAATTGTCTTGAATCAGACGAAAAGCTAAAAAGTTAAATGCTTCTCATTGTCCGACTTCAACCGTCATTCGTCAGTTCAAATGAAATAGTAGAAAGGAGAGAGGGAGTGCCAAAAACCATGTTCATCTTGATACACACGCACACATGCACCTTAAACCCATGTTAATGATTTCAAATTAATTTAGGTGCATATGTGTACGTGAGTACGTCACCTCACAATAACTTTAGTAAAGTTTTGGCTTGGTTTTTGCATCACTTGAAATGTTGGCAGCGCAGTTTCTTTCAAACTCAAACCAATAGAGTTTGACATACTACTTAATTTCTATTTTGGTATATTATATTATTTTGTATATAATATTTTAGTTTTAAGATTGTGTGTTGGTGTATTTTTTTATAGGATAGGGTGACAAACGAGCACAGTCCACCTGATGGTAAGTGGTTACTGTGACCCATAGACATCTACATCTCAATAAAGACTCAAGATGCAGATGCGTTGTCACCCGTGAAGACTAAGATGGAATGCCTCTTTGCGAGTAAAAAGGGTCTCCGGTTCTCTTCACTCACCCTACGAAACACAGCAGCCTTAAGCTGCTATTTTACGCTGGTTTTCTGTGAGAGCGTGGTCCTTCCCCGGTCGAGCCAACCCATTCGTGCTACAACTATACTACTAATATAGCTGCAGCATGGCTCTACCACGTAAAAATGTATGAGAATGCGTTGACATAAATCAATAAATAGAAGCTACATACAAATAATTTTGACTTTACAATAAACGTTTATTCTTTTGCTTCTTACAGGCATGCCAAACAAGTTCATGAGAGCACAGCTCGTGATAAAGTGCTTAGTACGGCTACGGCAACAGTGACCACCAAAGTGCCCGTTGCAGCTGTTACGGGAAGGGCAACTATCACTCAACCGTCTTCACGTAAGTAGATCTACAGAAGCATTAGATTAGACCATTGCCATTCCATTAAAGCCTATAAAAGCCCACCGCTGAACATAGGCCTCCCCCATAGATTGCTTCATAGGAGGTATTTCGTCATAGTAGCCATGCTCGACCGCCAGGGTGCCAACCGCAGTTTTTTCTTATTTTGAATTATTATCAAAAAGACGAGGAAGACGCTGCTGATTTTTTTTTGCCTTCTGTCCGCCTTTTGATTTGTTTCCCTCTGTAGGCTCTTACGGCACCCACGGAAAAATATTAGGTAGTGGATATTCTTGCACCGTCACTACATGGTTTATTAAAATAGTTTATTCTAGTAATTATTGTAATACCCCCAACAAAGACATCCATTTATTATCCATAGTTATATATTTACAAATAATATTCACGAAACCAAATGTCAAATTTGAAAACAAAAGCAACCGTGATTTCTAACAGAGTTACACAGTCGAGCTCGGACCAAAATTAATAATTAGAAGGGTATAATCATGCATTATACGTGGTAGAGCCATGCTGCTGCTATATTGGTTATGTAGTTGTAGCACGAACGGGTCGGCTCCACCGGGGAGGGACCACGCTCTCAGAATACCAGCGCAAAATAGCAGCTTAACACTGCTGTGTTTCGTATGGTGAGTGTAGAGAACCGGAGACCCTTTTGACTGGAAACGAGGCATTCCATCTTAGTCCTCACGGGTGACAACACATCTACATTTTGATTCTTTATGGAGGATAGATGTAGATATCTATGGGTCACAGCAACCACTTACCATCAGCTGGACTGTGTGCTCGTTTGTCACAATATCCTATAAAAATAATAATTTTTGTTAATAAATGCTATTATTATAATTATTATATTTAGCACTAGCTGATACCCGCGACTTCGTCCGCGTTGCTTACATCACTGAACACGTAGTGCCTATAAATCGTTGTTTCTTAATACTTTAATAACTTTATATTAAATGAATACATCGCAATATTTTTTTAGATAAGGGCTAAGTGTCTAAGAAATAAAACTTAGAAAACCTAATTGAAATCTATTTAGTAGTTTTTTCCGTGATGCGCGCACAACTGCAAACCTCTATCATTTTATTTATATAGATAATAATATTTTATAAAAGCTTTTAGAAAAATTTTACTTCGCAAGTATCCGCGTTATAAAATAAAATGATGTGTCTTACCTAGTATGAAGAGCACCTCCCGCCCTCCCTCGGGGGAGGGAGGGCGGTAGGTGCTCTTCATTTTATTTTATAACGCGGATATTTGCAAAGTAAAATTTTTCTAAAAGCTTTTATATAATGGATTTCCGCAAAGAAACGCCTGATTCTATTAATTATAATAATATTTTATTAAAATCGCCGACGCCGACACCGGTAAGACATGTGAATGAGTTTTATTATATTATAATGCAACAACGTATTGTACTATATCTTTGGAATAAATTAGATAAATAAATGAATAAACAGCTCAGTCCCTCCCATGCCTGGGGTGCTGCAAAGTACTCTTCGTTAAACGTAGGGAGTTAAAAATAAATTAACGCGACAAAATCCGTAAAAGTAATGCGTAGTGTTCTCTTAGATTCTTCTTCTCCTACTTCAAAGTCCACTGCTGGATACAGGCCTCTTCCGTTGAGAAGGACTTGCCTTATATGTCACGCTTGGAAGGCGAATTGATAAGCCACCTGCATCCATCGACTTCTTGCATCTCTTACCAGGTCGTCTCCTGTCCTCCGTCACGCTGTCGCTCGGTACAAGGCTGCTACTAGAGTACGGCACTTCCTCCACATCGGATCGTTGGCTTTATTATAGAATAGTTAGAATGTTCTTTTAATCAATATAGATTACATGTAATTCTTATTGAAAGTCACTTTTGACTTTTACCACTGGTTTGGAAAAGTCCGCTATCCCGGGAAGAACCATCAAGGGACCCAACCAGTTTAAAAAAAAGTAACTTATGATGTATATAAGAACACAGGTTGTACAAACTACCTACAAAACTTATTTAAGAAACAGCTTGGAAGCGACCACCTAATTCCCAGAGGTTATTATCAACCATGTATTCATTTATATTATAGTAACTATTGTTATACAGTTTTTGTTTATTAAAATGTTTAAACTTGGTAATAGAGAGACATGAATGAATTACTAACTCTGTCCAGTTGAGGAACTAGTGTATGGCCGGCCCTTTGCCACTTCCAAATTCACTGATCCGTAAAAATCATAATAGTTAATATTTACAGCAGCCAGCCGTATTTTGGAGCACTACACACGCAACCCTCAGGTACAAGAAACTTCGCCCACCAGTACACTACACACGAAGAGGAAGTCTATTGATAATGGGTTAGTATGTTTCGGTATTTTTTATTATTATTATAAACCAGTGCATGACTTCAACCTCACCTGATAGTTTTTTTGAATATTCTACTAAGCCAGCACTTATCTACGATCCCACCTGATGGCAAGAGGTGATGCAGCCTAAGATTGTGAAGTGCACTGACTTAACAAAAGCCTATTCACTCTTGCTTTGAAGACACCCACACTGTAATCGGATAGAAAGACAGATGCTGGCAACTTATTCCAATCCTTTGCTGTACGCATGATGAACGACGTGGCGAACTGTTTGGTTCGAATGTGTGGTAAGTCAACAACGAAAGGGTGGAGACTTGCCGAACGTCTGGTTGTCCGGTGATGGAAGGGAGAGGGAGGAATTAAATTATGGAATTCCTGCGCACACTCCGAAATGCATCCTGTAGAAAACCGAAAGGCTGGCTACTTTGCAGTCTGTGTTCGAGACTAGTAAGATTGGTTTAAACCAAATTCGGGTCACCAATAAGCCTCTTAGCACGCCTTTCCATTGAGTCCAAACCTGCTAGGTGGCATTTTGCAGCACCAGCCCATATATGGCAGCAATAGTCCATGCACGACCGGACTTGCGCTTTATATAATGTAAGCAGCTGTCCCGGTGTGAAGTATCGCCGCAACTTTTCAAGCGATAAGTATCTGATAGTAAGCGGTGAGAAGCGCTCGATAGTAAATTACAATGTCTCAGCGTATCAAAACCCTATACACACTTGCCTTAAAAACACCCAGACTGTAATCAAACAAAAGGATATAGGACGTATGACACGGTATGATGTTATTTCAAGCTGTAGTAATTAAGCGGTGAAATTGATTCGTCGATGAATCACAGCAGTTTTTTAACTTTTTTATAATGGTGGCTACTGCATGCTGTATGTGTTAGAGCCATGCTGCAGCTGTATATTATGGTTGTAGCACGAATGGTCGGCTGGACCGGGAAAGGGCCACGCTACCGCAGAATATCAGCGTAAAATAGAAGCTTAATACTGATGTGTTCTATATGGTGAGTGTAGAGAACTGGGGTCTCCAGTTTTACAAGGAACGAGGCATCCATGTTAGTCCTCAGGTGTGACAACTTTGATTCTTTATTAGACAACAGTCTCCACTTGCAATCAGGTGGACTGTGCGCTCGTTTCCCACCCTTATTCTATAAAAAATGTATCAGACGGATTAGCGAATGATGCCGTTGGAAAACTAGTTCATGAAGAGATCGATGACGATAGGTAGTTAAAATAGACTCGTGTTTCCAGATTGACCTCAAGTTGGTGAAAAATTAAGATGCAAAGCAGCAGGTCACGCAGCAGAAAATAACGTCAGTAGAATGGCTGTGCCAATTGTACAAAGATCTTCCACGTTTCCACTTAATAACAACAAAACTAAATTTGTTAAGCGTACACACATTCCGCTGGTTTGTGCTTGTGCTACCACAATTTATAAAGGCATAACCTTCTTGTTCTTCGTTAAAAAAAACTGCAATGTTGCCTGGTGGAGATCGCTACTGAGCAAAAATGCGGCCTCTTATACCTGTAAATAATTTATTGCTTTTTTTTTCGTTTATTGTACATCATCATCATCATTACAGCCCTTCACAAGTCCACTGCTGAACATAGGCCTCCCCCAAGGAATGCCACAAAGCACGGTCCTGAGCCACCTGCATCCATCGACTTCATGCATATCTTACCAGGTAGTCACTCCATATAGTGGGGGGACGCTCTACACTTCGTCCGCCGGTACGAGGCCGCCACTCGAGAACCTTTCTTCCCCATCGGTTGTCGGTTCTTCGAGCTATATGGCCGGCCCATTGCCACTTTAGCTTACTAATCCGTTGGGCTATGTCGGTCACTCTGGTTCTACTGCGGATATCATTTCTAAGTTTATCACGCAGAGAAACTCCGACCATAGCCCTCTCCATAGCTCGCTGAGCGACCTTGAGCTTCCTCATCCGGCCAACAGTGAAGGACCACGTCTCAGTTCCATAGGTCATCACTGGCAACACGCACTGGTTGTATAGTCTCGTTTTGAAGTTTTGAGGTATACCTGACGAGAAGATGTGCCGTAATTTCCCGAACGCTGCCCAGCCGAGTTGAATTCGTCGATTGACCTCTCGGTCGAAGTTGGACTTACCTAGTCGGACTATTTGTCCCAGGTAAACATACTCGTCAACAACTTCGAGCTTAGTGTCCCCAACAACTACCGGCATAGGTGTGACATGGACATTAACATGATCTTTGTTTTGTCCATGTTCATCTTAAGACCTATCCGTTGGGAAACACTATTGAGGTCATTGAGCATAGTGCTTAGTTCCTCCAGCGATTCTGCCATAAGGACTATATCATCGGCAAATCTAATATGATCCATCGTAGCCCTACTGTACAAGCACTTCAGCACTTCGGTATACCGACAGTCAACTTGGCACCGTTGAAGGGACTGCAGCATCGCCCAAATTTTGACGGAATCGAAGGCTTTCTCATAGTCCACATACGCCAGACATAATGGCAAATTGTACTCCTCGGACTTCTGTACAATTTGCCGAAGGGTATGTATGTGGTCTATGGTGCTAAAGACTTCGGAATCCGGCTTGTTCGGGAGGCTGGAAGTCGTCAAGTCTGCGCGCGACACGATTCGTAATGACTCTCGAAAACAGCACGTAGACGCGGCTTAGAAGGGAAATCGGTCTGTAGTTCTTCAAGAGAGCGTTGTCACCTTTCTTGAAGAACAAGACCACCGCACTTCTGCTCCACGCCTCCGATGTACCGCCACCATGGAGGACGGAATTAAAGAGCTTCTGAAGGACTTCAAGTACCGGTTTTCCACCCGCTTTCAGAAGCTCCGCTGTAATTCCGTCTTCGCCTCGGGCCTTACCGTTTTTAAGGTGCTGGGGAGATTCTAATCTCGCTCAGACTGACGTCCGGGATATCATCGGAATAGTGTCGGATAAGACTCGCCCTTGGATCGTCACTCACACTTGCGTGTGGCTCCAACGATAATGTGTACAGCTGCCCATAGAACCTCTCAATCTCACTCAAAATCTCAGGTGTCCCGGAAACGACGCTGCCACACTCGGTTTTCAGCTTCGACAGTTGGCTCTTTCTGACAGACAGATCTCTAGTAAAGACTTTGCAGCCCTGGTTCCGCTCGATCACTTCTTCAATACGAGCAGTATTAAAATTGCGTAAGTCTCGCCGCATGCATTTGGAGATCTGTCTGTTCAGTTGCCTGTATGCTGTCAAATCTACTGAAAACTGCAGCTTCATATCGCGTCTAACAGCCATGAGATTAAGAGTGTGATCGGAGAGTTTTGTGTTCTTCTGCGGCGGGTCTTGCAAAACTTAGCTCCAACCGCATTACTGACAATTTCCAACAGCTGACAGTTTCCACGGGCTTGTCATTCATATCATCCACTTCATTGCAATCTTCTAGGCACTGAAAACGGTTTCGTGGCTCGAGCTGAAAGGTTTCGGGACTTTGGATTAGAGCACGAGGGGGACGGAGCGTTGACTTCATTAGACGTGACCTCTCCAACTTAACGTTTAGGTTCAGTGTGCCTCTCACCATTCGGTGATCGCTGCCTGTTTTCACCCTCGCGATCACTGAAACATCACTGAACGGTTGTCGTATGGTCGTCATAATGAAGTCAATCTCATTTTTTGTCGAACCGTCGGGGCTTGACCAGGTCCACTTCCTGTGGGGCCGCTTCTGGAAGAAAGAGTTCATCATAAAGAGTCCCTCTTTCTCCATTAAGTCGGCCAGCTGCTGGCCCCTTCGGTTCCGATGCCCTATTCCGAATTTCCCTACTTTCAGCTCATCGTTCTCTCTTGTGCCTAGTTTTGCATTGAAGTCTCCCATCAACACCGTATAGTGGGTTTTGAAGAAATGCATGGCTCTAGAGATATCCTCCTACATTTCCTCCACCTCCTCATCGGGGTGTGCCGAGGTTAGTGCGTAAACCTGTATGACCTTCAACGAATATCGTTTCGGAGATTCTGAGTATAAGGTACGCAACCCTCGTCGACACACTCCCAATCTTAACAACGTTGTTAACGAGAGACTTGTGGACGATAAATCCGACACCTCCTTGGGACAGATGGTCGCTCTCCCGGTGATAGAATAAGTTGCCGGATTCGAGGATTATCGTGTCCTCCCCCTCTCTTCGGACCTCGGATAATCCTATGAGATTCCAGCGCAACTTACTTATCTCTTCTTCCAGCTCCAGGGTCTTCTCGTCAGTCCTCAGGGTGCGTGCGATATAACTTGCCAGGTCGAGTCGTCGTAGGTGGTAACCGAACCTCCACCGGAGATTCTTAGCACCCCCTGCCCCGCCGTTTTCATGGTCGCCACCGTAGCCAGGGCCGCCGGGGACTGGGGGCCGTTTATTAATGTCATTGCTCATGGGGGGTATATTGCCATAGTTGCTACGTTTGGCGAGCCGGTTGGCAACCGCACTTTTTTTTATTGTTATTTTGCTGTTATCAGAAAGATGCTGCTGCCCATCCTCTGCCTCAGTTTCCCTTTGTCGCCTTTTACGACACCGACGGGAAGTTATTCTTACACGCCACTACACGGGGGCGATGAAATATACTTTATTGTACAATAAAGTATTATATCATTCATCCTTTCACTAATGTATATTATATCGCGTAGGCTACAGTACTTTGCTTAAAAATGGGAATTCTAAATATTGTCCCCAGTGTTGAAAGTGATGCGAGCATTAAGAAGGCCCGTCTGATACGCTTTGCGTCGCCATCGCCGCAACCGGTGCCTCCCATTAAAGACAGTAAGTTGCATGCCCTACTTTTTTCGCTCGAAGATTTGAATTTGCCGAATACTGCAATGACTTCGATAATATTAATTTTTCGAATTCTGTAAAAAAAAAATACTTATTATTTTTAATTATTGCCTTTGTGGCTTTCGGTAGATGCCGATATAAATATCTTGAGTCTGTCGTCAATATGGCTGCTAAACGTGGCGATTATGGTAAACCCTGCCTACTGATAGTTGAAGAACAGTTGTGGGCTTTTTACGGGCACAAGTAGAAATCTTATGAATTAAAAATTACTGTGACTGGTATCTTATAAATTACTGCGATATTTTCTAAGATAAGAAGTATTTCCTTTGTAATGGTGTTTTATTTGTATGGATTGAACAAATACTAGTAAAAACAGATTTACCGCTGTAATTTTTTGACAGGATCTCTGCCTATTTCCTTAATATGTTATCTTGTTACCATGATTTTAAAATTTCATTGCCAATTCTACAATAAGCGCAAAAACACAACATTATTCTTATAATGTAAACTATTCAAAAAGTCACAAAATTATACGTTTGATGACGATTTGACGATTGTCCTTTTAAAAATGGTATTCATTTTTTGTGTATACGTATTATTAAAAAAAAAACGAATACCCGAAAAAATTGCATTATTAGAACTGCATGCCCGAATATTAAATAGAATATGCGAGAGCTACAGTAGCTCTGAAGCTAAGTGCTCGCTGTGAATGTCACTGAATGCGAGCAACTCGGATTCGATCCCTGCCGACACTAGTGAAATTGTTAACAAAAACTGAAACTTTTTTATTCAATATAGATTATAAATGGTATTTATTAAAAGTCACTCTTTTGTTTAATTTATCAGTGGTTTCGAAACAAACCTCTGTCCTGGGAAAACCAGTAAGAAACCCAGCGGGACCTTTTTTTTAAAAATAAATAACAGCTTACAATCATGTATGTTACACAATTAGCAATACAATAATTGCAAGTAACTGCAAGTATAAGTGCTGATTTACCACGTGCTCGAAGGTGAAGGAAAACACCATTTACTACTTGTACTTTGTACTATTAAAAGTACAGTAAATAGGAATATAAGATTATATAAATAACGTATAAATATTCGCTAATTTTTTTTGCAGTATCATCAAGTAAGCAAACCGTCTTCGCCCGCTTAGGGAATTCAGAGATTGTCAAAACTGTTCCACAAAAAACAAACTCCAAACAGATATATTCGAGACTGGGCTCGAAATCTGAAGGCAATGAAGAGGAACAACCAGTTATGCCATTGCAGAAGGACGCACTAAAGTACGAGGGTATACTAAAAGCCAATCCAGTTACTAAGAGAGTGTTCACTGTTACAACATCCAAGAATAATGTAAGAAAGATTGCAGTTGGGACTATGCGGGCTGATGAGACTCCTGTTAGTGTCAAAGAAAAATTAGCTTTACCTAAGCCTAAATCTGTAAAATTTTCTAATCACATAGAATATAAGGAAATAGAATCTGTTAAAAAAGAAGTTAACATTAATACTAGAACTTTTGGGCCAAAACTGCCACCTGTCAATATAAGACAAAAGATTTTCGCGCCAAAAATAACACAAGTTTTCAACAAACCAGAGAGAAGATTGTCTATGCCCGAAGGCGGTAACAGTGGCATTAAGTCTAGGTTAGGTAATAAAAATAGTAATGATCTGACTATCACAAGAAACGTTTTTAATAGATTAGGTGCATGATTCATTGTGACTTTATATTCTAAAATTAATGTTTCAGATGTTTGACATAAGGATATCTTTTTTAATTTGGTGCTTACGTTTACTAAACTACAGTTTGATTTAGTTTGTCTATTTTTTTATAAATAATATAGTTCTCGGGAGTCCTATTACCATAGCTTTACAATTTCACATTGAACACCAAACACTGTTGATGTTTTAAAAATGAAATGAAAATATTTAAAAAATTTACAAGAAATAGTATTTTATTGTTGAACAACTATCGATCTATAATTATAACCTATAGCGCTTTTTGCATTATCGTAAAATGTTATTTTATATTTGACTGTGCCAAATGTAATTTCTTCGAACGACTTCTGATGGTTTACGCCAATTTTAAGCCACAAATGCTTAGCTAAGCCTGAAGTATTACTGTATCGTGTTAAAAGGACTTAGAGTTGAAAGTCACCTTAATCTTGAAATTTTTTGGCTTTATTTTTTTTTTGCAAAATATACGGACATTGCTATCTTCTTCCTTTGGAGGATTTAACGTAATTGCACCGCTATATGACATCGAACTAATTTAATTAGATGCGTAACTGCATCATAAACATCTGATTAAGTATATTAAATTTGATTCAGCAGCTTTTTCTTTAAAAATAAAGTATTCAAATATTTTTTCATCACAATTTTTGACTAAACTAGTAATCTGTGTGATTAGATCACTCCCATTCGGATTGTTGTCAATTATTTTTTTAACTATTAAATGCAAGTACTTACTACCTACTAGGCTTCTCTCCAACCGGATGGAAAGTGGTGATGCAACTGAAGATGGTAAACGAATTGACTTAGCTTACCGTTACAGCCTAAAGTCTACTGCTGAACATAGGCCACCATCATAGATTGCCACCATAGATTGCCCCCCTACGACAAATATACCCCATATTTGTCGTAGTTGCCACACTTGGCAAGTGGGTTGGCAACAACAGTCTTTAATTTTTAGCAGTTATTAAGAAGACTGCTGCTTACGACACTCACGCGATGATATGGGGTAGTGGATATTTTTACATCGCCATTACACGGTTTTTGACTTAGCCTAACAAGAGCCTGTTCACTCTTGCCTTGAAGACAGATGCTGGCAAATTATTCCTCTCCTTTGCTGTACGCATTATAAACGACGAAGCAAACCGTTTGGTTGACATGCGTTGATGCTTGTATGGCATAATGGAGGGCGTCTTTGTGACGTAGTAATACAATACAATACAATAATATAGGGTAAGCAGTATAATGATTGGCACTTTAAGCGGATTTCTACTTGTAAGTGGTTAATTCTCGTAAATAAACAAATTTGTTATATTTTTTATTGTTTTGTTGGATTTTAGTTTAAATACCCATAAATAAAATAACGCATTACGTTTAAAAAGAAATGTTTAATTAAGTTAAAAATCTAATTAAACTTTTTTCTAGGGAATGCTACAATCATTGGCACTTTAGCATAGTGAAAAACTAAATTAAGTATAATCATTGGCACCATTGGAAGTCTTAAAAAGTTATACCCAGATCTTTTTAAGCTCCATCTTATTGTTATAACAATTATTTTGAACAAATCTTCTTAAAAAATTTTCCTTAGATCTTCATCTGAAAGCGGTTTCGTTTGTCTACCATGTTTTCTTCTTTCTTCGTATACATTTTTGATGTGACTTTTTTAGTAAAACCTTTCGTATTTTTTCGATATTTTGTAGAAATAGAACTTTATTTCGGTTTTTTAGATTAAACATTTAGAGATTATTATAATGTCAGAGTTTTTGGCTTCATTCTTCTTGTTTTGTTTGTCAGTTTGTTTCTATATTTGGCTAATTCAATTCTGCATTTTCCATTTGTGCCCAATTTTTCCATTATTTTTTTAGCTCCGCTGCTTCCGAATCTTGTTTGCACAAAATAACGGCGTTGTTTACCTGCTTTTTGCCTTTTGACACGTATTTGGCAATGGAAAAAAACTAAAGATTTTAGTTTATTTCGACATTCACAATCACCCATTCACCTCCAACAAATTCTAAATTTGCTGCCTAGTTGATGAAGAACATAAGGGTTAGTTTTTTTCTGATACTCAACAATAGTCTCTGCAGGTTGTATACGCTTTGGTGCTGATAAACCATTATTAAGTGAAAGGATACGAGGCAAATTTGATACCGGTATTTCTGATTCAGTCGTTATTAGTCGTTATTCTTAAAATATTAGGTAATTCGGCGTAATGGCACAGAACGGTGGTCATCTAAAATGGCTTGCTGTGATTTCGAGGGCACCGGACACTTTGTTTAATCCACTTTGTCTGGACTAAATGGACACAACCCACATATCTCAAAAACATTTCATAATATAGATTTATTTCAATACGGTAAAAGTCTTGCTAATATAGACCCGCATCTGTTTTAGTAACCTTTTTATCAAATTGTTTGTCCATCATTCGAAGATAGATTTACGCCACATATCTTTGGTGGGTCGAAATGCAGTGATATCAGCTGATTGCAATAGTCGCGTTGCATTCAGGTTAAGGGCCATAAGTATTATGGCGAGACTTGGGCAAAGTTGTGCTGTATTTAAGATAGTAAATTACCCTCTCTCTAGGCACTAACTTTTGAACGTCTGATCACATTTTCTTTTTATAGGGGAAAAATAATAGGTTTTACCGTCTATTCCAAATAACAGTGATGCAAGACTTCGATTAGGCATGATCCACCTCATAGACGTTTTATTCTCCCTCTATAAAACGGTTTAGTATGTATGGGGTACTTATTCAAAAACCTCACATCATTGACATTTTTATGACATCGAAAACTGTGCCAGGACCAGGTCGGCTTTTCAGCTTCTTAGTTTTTTTTTACTTTACTTATTTAGTGTGAACTGTAAATTCGCGCGTGGAATGTTAAATGTTAGTGCGGCAGTTATTTTTCTAAAGCGCCCTCTCTTAATAGCAGTATTCTTCATCAATTCAAAATATGAAAAAGTTCAGTCATAATCATTGGCACTACTCAAAGGATATAGTCATTGGCAGTGTCAAGAATAGATTTTGGACAAAAGAAAGAAAGTATAGTGATTGACATATATGCCAATGATTATGTAGTCAAACAAATTAAAGTATAGTCATTGGCACAATTAAAAAAACCGATGCTTCTATTTCACAACGATAAAATAACGTTTAATGTGCTTTAATGATGTTAATTGGTTAAAATAGACAGAAACTTACCTAAAAATCACATTTTTGTCTCAAAATCTAGCCACATAACCTTAACGTTTTGTTAAATTGTAACGGATTTGTCCGCACACAATTTGAAAACAGCCCTTATAGGAAAATAGTTGACGCTTTAAATATAAATGTGTATTGTTAGTATAAGTAATTATATATCTTAGCAATATCTGTGTAGCTGTGGTATAGAAAAAGGAAAACATTATTAATATTCAGATTAAAATAGCAAAGTGCCAATCATTTTAGGAGTGCCAACATTAGTACTGTTTACCCTACAAGTGATAGACCACAGATTAATAAATATATAGCAAGCTAGTGATAGACCCTGACTAATGGTACGGATCACCAAAGTCGTAAGTCGTGAACACGAGTATTTTATGCTTGCTTGAATTTAAAGGAGTATTATTAATGACATGATTTATAAATATTTTTTTTATTTAAAATATAACTACCGTCGCATAATGACCAATAAGAAAGTTGAAACTTCAATGGAAAAGTAAACGGTGCACTCTACAATGCCTTTGACAGTTATTATTTTAGGTACAAAAGTTAATTGTAAATTTTAAACTGAGCTAATTATGGTGTATTTGTTTGTTTGTGATAGCTAACCGTTAAGTGTGTTAACTTGGAAAGAAGTTCGTCTTTGTGTTTTGAGATGCCTTTTTTAAGTGTTTTAGTTATGTAATTTTGTAAATATTATTAATAAATAAATATTTTTTTGTTCTTTATTGGATACTTTGTTATATTTTTAATTGTTCTCTAAGAGTACTTCTGGACATAGCCCTCTCTCATTGTAGGGAGGCCTTAATCGTCACGCTCAATATGTTTTTCATATAAAAGGAGACAATCTTTTTGGGCGCACTAGAAACTTTAACGTAACTTAATTTTATTACACATAAAAAAGATACCAATTCATTATAGTAAACGACCTAAAGATTTTATCCGGGGGATTTAACCGGAATTATAATATCTGAAAAAAAAAGTCTTGATATTCGTGAATTGGCTAATGTAATATGAAAAAAATGCGTATAAAGAACGAACTACTAAACAAATTTTCCATCAACCTTAAAGTACCTATAAATGCTGAATGTACCTACAACTTTCTTTTATACTATTAATTATTGACCAGTGCACTATTTTAACTTATAATAAGCTTGTAATGCCAGTTACTAGACTCCACAGAATCAGTAATTCATTTATGGGGCAATGTATAAGCTTTTACAACAAAATCCCAGAACATATTCAAAGTTTGTCAATAAACAAGTTTAAAAGTTTTATTAAAGAAAAACTGTACAAAAACGGTTATTATAATATCAAGGTTGAAAAAAAAGTCCCGCTGGGTTTCTTGCTGTTTCTTCCCAGTACTGGGGTGTTTTCCGAACCAGTGATAAATAAAAAAATGACTTTCAATAAGTATTATGTAATAATCAATATTGAATAAAAAATTATTCTATTATATTCTGTTCTAAATACCTGTGAAAACTACTCGACAATCGCTTTTAGTTTGTTTTTAGATTATTGAGATATTCATATTTTAATTGTTAATTTCTCAGTATTCTCGTTAGATACGGTAAAACTAATATTACTATGTAATAATATAATATGTGGTTATAAGGAATAAATCGACATATGTTTCATTAAGTTACGTCTGATTACGGTGGTGGGCCCATTCTCAATACAAAAGGAAATTGTCTCCTTTCGATCACAGCAGACAATCTCAACGGAGACTAGCCATCTGCACAGGACAGGTTTATAGTGATCTACGTAATGACCTGAAGTGGTGATATGGGGTATAGGATATTCTTACTAGGGAAGGAGGGAAACTAAAACAGGAGATGGGCAGCAGCAACTTCCTGATAATAATGAAGCTACGGTTGTCAGTCAACTATGTTTAGCAGTGGACTATTACACGCTGTAAGGGATGGATGGATGGAATCCACCTAAATCCGTGGTGGTAAAAGGTCATAGTACACGGGCAACGGATTCGATGCTCGCCGGCACCCATGAAATTGGTAATTGCATTTTTAAGCGCTGATATGCCACGTGTTCGGCGATGAAGGAAATCGTGAGGAAACCTGCATGTCGGAATAAAATGTTTCGTGAAAATGTCGGCTAAAACGCACTCGAGTAGCGTGACTGCATGACGTACTTATTCCTAAATAACCTTCTTAAAAATGGGTGTTCTGAGTCCAGCTGTGAGACCTACCTATAAAGGCTGTGTTTCTTTTCTCTTTTTACCTAACATAATTGCTAAAATATTATTTTAAATCGCACATTGTTTAGAGTATGTTCGTCATATTTACTTTATGTGCCCAAACCGACGTTTGTACCTCCTGTTTGCGTCCCTTGGATCACATCGAGCTAGCCTACTCCAGCCCACCCGGTCCTCGCGGCACTCGCTGTCGGAGCCGTATTTTAATTCATTAGAAGCCATTGCCACAAATAATTTGAAAACACATTTTTTTAAGAATGCAGTCTACTTTAGGAGACAATATCTTATATTCTGTAGCAAACTGAATTTAAACGTCGCAGAACCATCTGTAACGACGAGACTCGCGCCAGCTCGCTACTGAAGAAACATGGAAAAAAAAGAAATGTTAAGAGAAATTTCGACGTGTGTCTATTCTATTATTATTCATTGAGATTCTTAAGCTTTCGTAAGGAACATTTAAATTAATTTTAACTCATAACATATATTTTAAAAAGCCGCACAAAAGAAAGCAAAAAGATGACATTTCAAAGCAACATTTGGTAGTTACTGATGATAAACCCAGAATCTTTTAGATTATATTTCGTGACCGCTAATGAAACGTATGTTCACCATTTCAACTTTGAGACGATAAACCAAAATAAGGTCTGAAAACGATCGTCCTCCCTGCCAGCCAAGAGTCCGCTGTCAAGATAATGGGTGTCTTCTGGGATTCGGAAGGGCTGTTTTTCTTGGAATTATTATTGACAAAAAGCTTCAATAGGGCAACCATATTACCATATTTCTAAATTAGAAAGCAGACTTAGTTCTGCAGCATACGCTGTAAGGTTAGAAGTCTCACCAATGACAAACTCTCCCCACGCAAAAACAGCTACATTAGTTTATGTTAGTTACTTACGTACCATAGCTTTATGCAATTTTGCTATGGGGTATCGCGACTGACATTGAAACCATATTTGTTTAGCAAAAGAGAGCCGTACAGGTAAACTTATAATTTAAATTGTAAAGAGTCCCTCGGAGAAAATTTTAAAGAAATAAAAATATTAAGTACATAAAAATAAAAAATAAGTAGTTTTGATAAGAAATAAGACGTTCATATTTTAAACATGTAGGAACGAACACAAGCTTGTAGGTACCTAATGCGAAGTTACTAGACTAGACCACAGAATCAGTTATCTGTTTATGGAGCAATGTGCTCGTGCCTATACCCTTTTACAGCAAAATCCTAGAAAATGTTAGTCGTTTGTTAGTTTAAAAAATTACTAATGAAAAACTGTACAAAAAGGGTTAGGTATATCTAATGTTAAGGATTACATGAATGAAAATAACTCCTGTGAATAATGTAATCGCTGTTATGCTGCTTCTATAATAAATCGTATAAATAATTGTACACAATTATTGTAAAAAGTAATCTCCCTGGGTTTCCTGCTGGTTCTTCTCAGGACAGCGTTATTTCCCGAACTAGTGATAAATAAAAAATATACTTTCCTGTAAGTATTATGTAATAATCTATATTGAATAAAAATAGTCTATTCTATCATTATGGTTGATTATATAACTACAGGACAGATGAAACCCGGATAGTATATCTATTGTTATCATTGATTAAAAAAACGATGAGGAAAGTTGTCTGCCGGAGTGCTTTTTCATTATGACAATGTACTTGCACATCGGTCTGATCTAGCTGGAGCTGCTGTTACAGAGGCTCAATGTCCATTCAATAACCCGGATCAAGTATTTTTTATAAAGGAAAATTATTTTGCTACGAACCGCGTGTAAAAATATGTAGGTAATATTTATTAAAAAATATTTAAACGTAAATATTTATTCAACATTGCTTGTTGTTGAAAACTTAATTTTGCAATTCCTACAGCCGTCGGTCTCCTCTATTACGAAAAGCGGAACTTGGGGATGCCGAACAACCATTATAATGAAGGGTTATTTGTTAAGGAATTCTTTTCTTCTGGTGAATTAAGAAATCATTGATGTAACCTTTTGTCATCCAAAATAGTTAATCTCTATAAAAGAAATGGATTCGAATGGAATAGAATCACATAATAATACTTACACTATTATTTGTCTTTACTCTCGAGTGACATAATAGAACGCAGAAGAGTTGGAAAATGACGGGCCATACCGTTCCCGGGCTTTTCCATATAAGAGGGTTTTTAGTGACGCGCCACTGCAGTGCCGCTTCCACCTTGACGGAACCAACGCCGCTCGCAATGTGGAGAAAGGTAATTAAATGCTTTTCGGTTATTTGAAAAAGTGTTGTGCCAGTATAAGTTAATTATTTTCTTTGTAATTCTATAGTGATTTAACGTTAATTATTAACAAGAAAAGCTTTTTTAAGTTGATTAGAAAACCGCATTGACATTTTAGTATTCTCAGTTAAATATAGCCTTAGAACTTACTACACATACTTATGGCTATGGATACACTACGTCTAAAGCACACTTTCAGAGATATTAAATTAGTTTATTTACAATAAAATTGAGCTTACCCAAAATATTGCAATATTATCTCTTTTATACGTAGTAGAGTCATGTTGCAGCTATATTAATAGTATAGTTGTAGCACGAATGGGTCGGCTCGACCTAGGAAGGACCACGCTCTCACAGAATACCAGCGTAAAATAGCAGCTAATGCTGCTGTGTTTCGTATGGTGAGTGTAGAGTACCGGAGACCCTTTTTACTGGAAAAGAGGCATTCTATCTTAGTCCTCATGGGTGACAACGCATCTGCATTTTATTTCGCAAACGAAGATAGATATAGATGTCTATGGGCCATGGCAACCACTTATCATCAGGTGGACTGTGTGCTCGTTTGTTACCCTTATTCTATTAAAAAAAAATCTCAATATATTTCAAAAGCTAACCATCCACATCACGCGAGGGGATTAAATTCTAATGCGTTTAAGATAAAGATGTGCTCTTCTAGCCAATTTTACACAACTTTTTTTTTATAGGATCGGGTGACAAACGAGCACACAGTCCACCTGATGGTAAGTGGTTACTGTGACCCATAGACATCTACATCTATCCTCAATAAAGACTCAAGATGCAGATGCGTTGTCACCCGTGAGGACTAAGATCGAATGCCTCTTTGCCAGTAAAAAGGGTCTCCGGTTCTCTACACTCACCATACGAAACACAGCAGCGTTAAGCTGCTATTTTACGCTGGTTTTCTGTGAGACAACTGGCACACTCAAGTGGGCACACGGGAAGAACTTCGAATAATCAGAAATTAGCTACGCAGGAAATATCATCGCATCAATAAGAACAATATGTGTGGAAATTTTTAACGTTAGTTTATACTAAATCTATGGTGGAAATAAATAACGCTCAATCACAGAGATCAGAGACATTCATTCGTCCCTAATACTTGAGGCATCAGAAATACGGGGAGAAATTTGAATTTATACACAGAGGTTGTCAGGTTCTTTGACTATTATCACAGCTTAAACTATTATGTATGTGGTCGTTATATTATAAATATTATTGCAATATATTGAGAGCTACTGTAGCTCAGGGGCTAAGTGGTCGCTGTAAATTTCTCAGTACGCGAGCAACCCAGGTTCGAATCCCGCCGGCACCAATGAAATTGTTAATTGCGATTTTAAGTGTTGATTTATCACGTGCCCGACGGTGAAGTAAAACATCGCGAGGAAACCTGAATGTCTGAGAAATAAGAAACAAATATTTTGGAAGACATGTGAAGTTCCCCAACATGCATTGGTACAGTGCGGCGGACATTTCCTTGGCCATAAAACCTTCCCAGAAATTAGAGGAGGCCTGTGCTTAGCAGTGGCACGTAACTTTAACATATGATTGACATTTTAACAAAAAATATATACCTAATTGTTTTGCTTTTGGGGAGGTTATTATAATTTAAAAGAAATTCATTGAATAACTAAATCTATTTCTTTTCAGGCATTACTTTCATTCGTATGCTGTCTAGCATTTAGAGAAGCATTGGGTGATACAAATGAATCAAGGGCCAGTTCGGTGATAAAAGGTGAAGAAAATATTTCCCGTCTGTACAGCAATGTTCCCGACGGTGTGTATGCCAGTAGTTCACCGTATACAGCGTATTCATTCCACGTTCCGACAGTCATAACAGCACCGAGGAACATGCGCGTTATTCCAGTTAATGAAGAAAGTGTTCCCAAACATAATACTTACAATATAAATGGATTCTTTAAGGATTCTTACGGAAATAGATTTGTGAATTCGCCGCAGACATTAGGATTTAAGGCAACTTTCCCCCAACAATATTTACAGATTCAAGAATTACCGGCGCATCTATCACAGCCGTTAGTATCTCCGCCGACTTATCAGCTTAAGCAAGTTACACCGCACTTCTTTTCTCCTACTCAATTTCGGGACTTCTCACCGTTCGCAAGATATGCTGTATCACATCCAGTTGTACAGAACGCGAATATAAGAACCTTTGGAACTTCTCCAGTTTCGCAACCAAACTTTATTTCGCATAACAATTTTAATGTGCATCCAGTTGCACAGCAACAATCTACTAGCTATAAACCTATATTTTCGAATACACAAGCTTATGAACAGTTTAATAAATTAAAAAACGAACCAAAGTTTCAACGTTTACAAGGGAATTTGCAGCAAAATGTGAAACTACAAAATGTACACGTTGATTATGAAAAGAAAAATAACCATCCTCATTTACATTTTCAAAAAGAAGGATTGCAAGTAGCTCCAGCAAGAGAAACTAAAATTACAACTTATACTCATGATGGTGATAAGGCTATAGTAAATTTAGAAACAAAACCGCCTTTGCATCTATTAGATATTAGTTTGCTTGAACCGTTGACATTTGACAATCCACTTGTACCTCAAGTTCAGCATTTTTTGCCAAGGATAAATGAAGCTACTTATCACAAATTGCCCGATTATAACACAGATGTAAACAGTGAAAAACAACATAAACCCGAAGAGGAGAAAACAAAAACTTACGATGATGGTAGCGTCAAAAGAAATCCCAAAGCAAAGAATAAGTCACCAAAAAAGAAACAGAAGGGGCCGTCAAAACAAAATGAAAATGATAAAAACAAACTTACAACGCCATCTATCGCAATTAAGGGGACCCGTTATGTAAGTCCAGAGTACTCATATGAAATAAATTCGCCCAATTACAAAGAGACGTATAAAGAACAAATAGTGAGATACAATAAAGAAACCAAATCAGACCCCGTTCACTACAACTATAACAAGGAGGCACAATCAGAGCCCATCCATTACAGCTATAAAAAAGAAACACAGTCTGAACCCATACATTATACTTATGAGAAGCAAGTTCAAAAGAAACCAGTGCAATATAGTAACGTGCATTATTCAAAACAACCGCAACAAGAGAAAAAGATTTACTACGAAAATGTAGAACATTGCCCAAAACAAGTTTATACATTTAAAAGTGATAATAACAACGATGAACAAAATAATTATGGTTCACCGCATGTAAATGGAGAATCATCATCTGAAGATACATCGGAAAATTATAGTTCAGCACAACGGCCCTCATTAAAAATCCATGATATTGGACATGAACAATATGCAGATGCTCCGCAATCTTCTCGTGATCTTGTACCCGAACACAGAGAAGCCGAATTTGCTCATATAATTAAAGATCAGGCTAACCGTGATCACTTTCAACCTACACATAAACCCAATGAGCACATACGAGTAAACCCAAATCAGCACATTCAACGACTGTATCCAGCGCGCAATCAGAATGCGCAGAAAAATAATTATTCACCAAATCAACATATCCATGAAAAGTCCAAACGTGTTATAATCAGGGATGAAACTCCTGAAGGTATCCACTCTCATAATGAAAAGCAATCTACAGAAACGGTCGATCAAGAGGAGAATAATGAAGAAAATTTTGAAAAAGCTTACAAGAACGCAGCCTTCGGATTCCCTGCATACGAATCAAATTCAGAAGATATTGAAAGAGATATTTACAATCCCGAAACATATGGCGTCCCTCGTGACAGCTCTAATTTTGATATTGAACATTCTCCTTTTCAACAATATTATGAGGAAGGTGACAAATTTCCAAAATATACTCATTCTAATTACAAAGATGTCAGAGATAAAACTAAAGAAGATTATTATTTAGATTTTTCTATTAATAAGCCCGAAAGTATGATAGATATGTACAAGGACAAAGTGGGGTATTACAAAATGTATAGGAATCATAGACCTGACAAATATTTTGGTTTTGACCAAGACGAAGATAAGGGAAGTGAAAACCAAAGTGCTAAGTACTCTATTGCTCCTACTTTTCTGTTTAATCGTGCACCTGAACGGAAACAAAAACAAGAGTTTGCAAAGATACAAACATCACCATACATTTACGAATATGATTATACGAAAGAAGCTCCTAGTGACAATACAGCCTACGGGAGCCAACCGCATCAAAGATTTAAAACGAAGACTCAGTTTGTTGAACCTCAATTCCAATATGGTTTTGAGCCATCGTCGCTTCCTATTTTACTTGACAGTGAATTAGCAACAATGGCTAGTAATATCAGTCCCGAAAACGAAAAGCCCGAAACGAGAAAAAAAGTTTATAAGGAGAATTGGTATATCAAAAAGACGAGTACATCAGGAGGGAGCCCAGCTAGCTGATAGGGTTATTTATGAAAAACCAAATGTTAATTTAAGCTAATAATAGTTGTAGTTGTTCATGAATAAATCTGTTTTTTATTTTAAATACGTGTACACTATAGGTATCCATGATTAGGAAGTCAGTAAATTTAAAATTGGATAATATTCTTATGCAATAAACTTTCACCTCAATATATTACGTGACAAGATCTATTTCTTGCCTTAATTTCGCTATTCAACTATAAAATGAAATAAAATAAAAATAATGTTGCTCTTCAACGGAGTCAGTCACCGTAGTAAAAGAAGCAAAAAAAGTTCGAAACCGATTTTATACGCTTCTGTAACTCAGTGGATCAAGTTTTTTATTATTAGGAAATAAGCAAATGAAAGAGAAAATTTTGCCGAAATACATTTATTCCTATTTATAAAGCTAGGTAGAAAAATTAAGATTCATCAAATATCAATAATCTAAATAATTTAAAATTAAAAAATTTGTACAGCCGACTTCAATATAAATTATTAAGAATAACGAAAAATTTTTTGGTCTGACCTTGATCAAATTCATACGGGACCACACGAGAAGTCCACCAGCTTTCAAATAAAACAAGAATCATCGAAATCTGTTCACCCAGTAAAAAGTTATGAGGTAACACACATAAAAAAACATACAGTCGAATTGAGTACCGTCTCCTTTTTGGAGGTCGGCAGAAAATATAGAGGCAATGTTGGGAAAGATTTCGAATGTATCTATACAGTTTTTTTTTGTTTATCTGTTACACAAAAGTTAAAGTAAAATATTATGCACGCTTAAGCAGGTGGTCTGTATCGAACAAGCTTGAAGTTTTTCATTGGAACTGATCACGGTAATTGCAATTTTTACACAACTTTTTTATTGATTTGTTGAGGCTACAATGAACCATGTCAACTTTATTAAAGCTTATCCATATTGTAAGACAAAAATAAAAACAGGAAAAAAGTGGGTCAAGTGCTTGTTACGACAAGCGTAATGTTGGATTCCGCTGCTAAAGTAGGTACTCGTTATTTATATTAAAACTTTTTAAAAGAAGAAATACAGATGGAAAGAAATTTAATAGGTTTCTTATATTACAGCCTCTAATGACTGTCTCGTAGGTAGTGGTCATAAGCACGACTACTGATCATGTAGTTCCGGATTCAAAGCCGGGTCGGGTCCAAATCAGTCATCGGCTTTTCCTGTCAAGAAACTCTCAAAAGCAGCTCAGAGTTAGGAAGATAATGAAATAAAACAAAGCCGTGAGCGGGCGCTGGGCCTAATCACTATGGTTCTGTCGGATTGCAATCTTATCGGATTGTGGGAGTGGGAGAACAGAGTGCACTTGTTCTTGTGTACACTCGTCCTGTCCTGCGTCGATGACTAGTCTCCGTTTAGATTTGCCGCCGTGACTGAAATTCAATCTGGAGGACGTTATCTACATAGTAGCAGAACCCTAAAATGTTTTAAACATCTAACACTAATATTTTAAGGTTACTTGAACTTAACGGGAATTTGTGATGTTCCGGAGCTAACTGCGCTTGTGACATTAAAGTAGTACTATATGCGCTAAAAGAAATGCCCGTGCACGATGCACTTAATTGCAACGCAAGATCGAAGGTATAGGTGCAGCGGCACTATGGGTAAAGTCTTACGGCCTCACGTTGGTCTAGTGGTCGTAATGGTTGCTGACCACGAGGTCCCGGGTTCGAATCCGACGTCGGGCCAAAATTAGTATTAATCAGATTTTTTTTGTCAACAAACTCAATAGAAGCCCGGCTTCAGGGAATTGGCGCTGTTTTACACCCGTGCCTCGGAAAGCACGTAAAGCCGTTGTTTCTGCGCCGGATCACTCTTCGGTCCTGTCTGATTACCATCTCATCGGACAATGAGAATGAAGGAATAAAGTGCAGCTGTGGTTGCGCATATACTCGCGCGTGCGCGTGCGCGCATCACGGAAAACTACTGGATAGATTTCAATTAGGTTTTTTAAGTTTTATTTCTAAAACTCTTGGCCCTTATCTGAAAAAATATTATGAAATCTTCATTAAATATAAAGTTATTAGAAACGTTTTATATAAGCACTACCTACGAGTTCAGTGGTGTATGTTTCCTTTGTTAATATATCAAGCAACGCGGAAGAAGTCGCGGGAATCAGCTAGTCTTCCAGCTAGCAACGCTAATTTCAACAGTTCGTTGTGGCGAAAATTTTATAGTACCTAATTTTTAAACTTGACACCTAAAAAGCTCCTTATTTTGGCTTTTTCTAAATGCAATTTTGATTCTATTCTGATTTTCAGAAGACCTGAATTTTGCATCTGCTTTGTTCTGAATAACCATTTTATTTTTATTAGGGGCGCCTTATCATTGCCTATATTTGCAGCACTTAATTCCTTACTATTAATATTTATCGTATAAGTATCTATTATCGTCACTGCATTGCTAGAGATACGTTTTGCCAGCAAAGCAAATTTCAAGTTCATAGGGGTGAAAATTTTAGAGTACCTAATTTTTAAACTTGGCATTAGCACCCGTAAAAGCCCCTAATTTTGACTTTTTCTAAATGCAAATCCCTGACTGCGCTGCTCGCGGGACATAACTCCTAATTAAATTCAGTTTAAATTAAAAAAAATCACAATGTTCGCCAGACCGAATTTTGGTCACGGTGGCCTAACTGATAATAGCCATCTGTATAAGGCAGGATAAAAGCGCACGAGTATAATCGGCTCAGTTGCATTTTCTATTCCCTGAATCTTTTAGTCCGATGGGATGGCAAACCGTCTAGACCGGAAAGGGATTTGGCCCAACTCAGTATGTCGACTGAGACTGTCAAATCATTATAAACGCAAAAAAGATTCAACAAAAAACTTACCTATGTTATAAGATCGTTGATATAAGAAGTCGAAGGGATATATCATGAACTACGGTAGTTATTTTGGTTTAAAATTGAAATAAAAATTCACAATAAGAATAGTTATTTTTATTAATAAAATCAATACTGAAAATATCTTAATTATGTTTATTTAATTTACATGTATTTTATCAACTATATATCTGAGAATCATAACCTCGCTATAGGCCTTGACTAGTAGACATACAAACTATATTTTCTAACATTATATTCTAAAGTACAGGCAATGTGCCTTGCTCCTTATGATCTAGAGGAATTTTTAAATTTATTTCAATTTTATTTTCTACTGTTATAATAAAACAAAACGGGATATAAAAATAAATTTAGGGAAAATTTTAAATTCTAAATAACAGGTTTTGTCTTAGATAAACTTTAGCTCCCTCGCTAGTTGCTTTTTATTTTTTGCTATCTCTGCTTCCTTTGTTCTGTGTAAATAGTTGCGGGTTTCTTTTTACGATACAATCTTATCGTCATCATAAAAGTTGAGAGGCCTAACGTTAAAGCAACAACCGCTAGGAGAAGCGCTGCAGTGGATATGTGGCCTTCATAGACATCGAAAAGTTCTGCCACTAAGGCTATGGGCCTTAATATCTTTACCACTGGTTCGCAACCCGATTCTCTAACATATTTTGCCCAGGTCCTGTTAGCGAAGACCAATTCTCTCGGCCTCACGAATGGCCTTCTTCCTGGCACTGTCTTGGTAGTAGACAGCGTCATATTACGAAGTTGAGTCTCATTGTAGTGACAGTAAAGGTTCCTTTTCTTCTTGTTACCTTTTACGACAATATCTTTCTCAGCGCTCTTGGCGCCGACCAACATATCCAAGTCGCCCTTTATCATGTTTGCCCAATCCCACATTTCAGCGATTTTGCAATCGCATACAAACGGATTACCAATTACATTCAATGATCGTAATCTGGGGTTGTTTATGAACACTTCCGGGTCTATAGTTGTTAAGTTGTTGTTGCTTAGATTTAGCTTTTCCAGGTGGTGAAGCAGTTCCAGAAACGAAAGGCTACCTTCGCCGGATTGAATCCGATTTCCTGATAAGTTAAGGTCGGTTATGTTCTCTGTGTTTTTGAATGAATCTCTATTTAAAGACAATATGTTACAGTTACTAAGATCAAGTATCGTGACTTGGGATAACTGCTTTGGGAAGAGAGGTCCCGAGTCTGGAATGACAAGTGGATTTCCACTGAGGCGTATTTCTCTCAAGTTCATATACGTCAGATTCTTAAAGAAAGCGTTTGCATTAAGAGGCCTCTTTAACCCACAGAATTCGAGCTCTAAAGTTGTCAATTGTGTTAGATTACCGAAAAGACCCGCTTCCAGAGACAACAAATCGTTACCGGAGAGAACAAGACGTTTCATCGATGTCATCTTTGAAAAGGTGTGCGGTCCGATGTAAGATAAGTTGCTGTAACCCATATTAAGGTACTCCAATTTCTCTAGAGGTGCCAATAGTTTTGTAAATACATTTACTAGAGGATTGTGAGATATGTCCAATTCTAGAAGGTTATCGAAAACAATAAAGTTATCGGGAAGATTATGTAGACCACAGTTGCTTAGGAATAATCTCTCTAGTTTAGGCAGAGGAGCAAGAGCTTCTTGCAGATCTGGTGCAAACAAAGGATTGCCTGACAGATAAAGGATCTTTAGCCTGGTTGCGTTAGCGAATGCCTCTCCTGAAATCGGGCCTTGTATATGACAATTAGACAGGTCTAGTAATTCCAAATGGGTGACGCTCTTGCCCAATATAGCTGCAACGTCCAGATCTCGCAATTCGTTATCCGCTAAAATTAGTGTCACTAAGTTTGTGCAATTAGTAAAAGTGTCTTCGGACAGTGACGTTAGTCCGGATTTTCTCAAGTTGAGATATTCGAGTCTTATAAGGTTACCCAGTACATCGGACCAGTTTGTGTTGGTTAAGATATTTCCAGCAAGTTCTAATCTCTTAAGGTTAGTTAATGAAGAAAATGCGCCATCTGAAATTGTTGTGAGTTGACAGTCGTTCAGATTTAAGGTGTCGAGACTTGTGAGGACATCGAACACTCCAGCGTCTAGCTTACGAAGTGGGTTATTAGAGATATCTACTGTGGT